ATTACGGTTTGAACTGCTTGACCATCCACCTTACTCACCAGATCTAGCCCCAAGCGACTTCTTTTTGTTCCCTCATCTAAAAATTGCGCTCGGAGGACAGAGATTTTCGTCAAATGAAGAGGCAATCACCTTCGTGAACAATTATTTTGCAGAGAAAAACGCCGAGTACTATTTCGACGGGTTACAGAGATGGGAGCATCGCTGGGAGAAGTGTGTAGATTTACAAGGAGACTATGTTGAAAAATAAAAAACAATTTTCAGAAAAAATGACTTGTATCTTTGTTAGGTCGGAAACTTTTCAGACCACCCTCGTATAACCACGAAGGATTAAGAAAGTTGCATTGATATGTAATATATGTATATGTATATAATACGTATCAAGCAAGCACACATATAACTGAAATTTCTTATTATACAGGGTGTCCCACGTAAGACGTACAAAAAGAAAAATATAAATAGAATACACAAAAGTGAACAAAAATTGTATAGGTCATTTTTCAAATAACTACGTAAAATTTCGAGATATTAATTAAAATAGTTGCGCATATCAGAGCGCGGCGACGCGGCAGGCAGGACATACAGTTCGCCGTGGCCGGCGAAGAAAATGGAAGAACGCACACGTACACGGAGCTATTCATTTCAGTATGCCAAACGGAGTACCTCTGTGGCCTATAATATAGGCCCGCGAGCAATCGTCCATTTTCTTCGCCGGCCGCGGCGAACCGTATGTCCCGCTTGCCGTGTCGCCGCTCTGATATGCCCAAATATTTTAATTAATATCTCGAAATTTTACATGGTTACCAGATTTGAGGTTTTCACGGCCATTGATACAATGTCTAGGTATAGCTTCCGGAATGGAGCCGTGTCTTGAATCAGCGATATGCCGACGTTTCGCAAATGTTTATATAGGAGAAACCGGGAGGAAGATCAGTACGCGAATCAAGGAATACCAGCGATGTACCAAGTATGGTCACTTTACTCAATCAGCCCTAGCTGAACACTGGATGGAGACTGGACACTCCGTACAATATGACAAAGCCACCAGATTGGCTCCCTCACAGAGTTATTTTGCCAGAAAATATCGTGAAGGTCTAGAAATTTTGAAACATCCCAACAACCTCAACCGAGACAAAGATATGCAAGTAAACTCTATTTGGCATATTGCCCTCCCGGTTTTTTAATTGACCAGCTGATCAATTAAAATATGCTGATTGGCTGGATTCAAGCCTCGTCCCCTACTCCCTAAACACCATCTACACAAAGGGGGGAGGGGGGCATATAAGGACTACTTTTACCCAAGGGAGCTCAGTATCAGAGTTCTCAGCCCTAATGATGCAAACTGCAATGTTTGCGAAATGTCGGCATATCGCTGATTCAAGACACAGCTTCATTCCGGAAGCTATACCTAGACATTTTACATGGTTGTTTGAAAAATGGCCTATATAATTTTTGTTCACTTTTATGTATTCTATTTATATTTTTCTTTTTGTACGTCTTACGCGGGACACCCTGTATAACTACGAAGGATCAAGAAATGTGCATTGATATGTAACATATACAAGTAACTGTCCGGTAACTGATCGAGCGGTAACTAACCGCCGTGTACGGATAGAATGGATCAAAATAATCCTAAAAGTTACACTATTTTGAAATTTTCTCAATATTTATTCTTTAATTAATTACAATATATAAATGAGCGTACGTAAAGCGGTAGGATAGGCTCTGTATGTAAAAGAAATGGCTTACCTCTTAGCAACGATGAGTAAACAGCTGATTTCGAGGCGGAGTAACGTATACATGTCGCTTGTTACACCGCCTCGAAATCAGCTGTTTCGGCGATTCCTCGCGCGTGCCGTTTACCGATTCGTGGAAGTATGTTTTGTCTATCGGTCGTCATAGCAACCGCGGCTCGCCAACTAGCTGGCTCAGAAAAAAAATGTCGTGACTACGCGAGACCATCGCGAGGATCACGACAGCCTCACGTAATGTTCTCAGGATGAGAAAGTTCTCGAACGACTTGATCATTCGAGATCTTTTCTAGAATTCCGAACATCGCGCCTGCCTTGAAACGTACGCTTTAACAATTAAACGCGTTACAATGAATGAAAGACGAAGTATATGTCCACCACAAGCGGACACGACGAGGCTGCGAAGCCTCCGCATAACGAACCCGAGCATCGGCGCGATTGTTCAGTCGAGAATTCACTTACGATTTGTCGAGAGTGTCGCATTGCAGTCAATCGGCAGTAAACATATTTTGCCGATGGGCCTAGTATATTCCGACATCGCTGTTTTTATCGTAATCACCCGGACCAAGCCGTCCGGCCCGGGATGACACTGTGTTACACGACCCAGTTCCCATTTACACGGGAGTAAATTGGGATTTCGCAATAGAACGAGTCCCACACGAATTGATGGTTGTACCTTGCGCCACTTAACTCTCTGATGGAGCGTATTAATATAGTCCCTGTACCAGATCTTCCAAAACCGTTCCATGATCTGGCGTAGCAACTGTCACCGTGAGAAGCGATTCTCATTCCAATCGAGAATAGAAGGCTCCGGAGCGGACGTGAGCGTGGTACCGATTAGAAAATTATCGGGCGTCAACGTCTTGTAATCGTCAAGGTTGTCCGACAATGGAGCGATCAGGCGTGAATTTAAACAGTATACAAAACGATAGTCATTTTTTCGAAGATGAGAGTGTGATTATCAAGAATGCGGCGCAAATGATGTTTTACACTCTTCACTCCTGCATCCTCCCGAAGTGGGGTGCTGACGGAGACATAAAATGCCTTGCAACGTTGTCGGAGGCCATTCGGCCTTGAAAATTGGATCGCGCGGCGCGATACGCGGCTGCCAGCTCGCGGTTCGCACCGACAAATGTCGTTCCGTTATCGGAATATACCGATTGTGGCAATCCGCGGCGCGAGCAGAAGTGCACATACGCATTCAGAAAAGAATGAGTCGATCGAGTAATCAGACACTAATTCCAAATGGATTGCGCGCGTGGCTAGGCAAACGAATAACGCGATATAGGCTTTACGCGACATAATCGCCCTGCTGAGGCTCGGACAACAATAGGACCAGCATAATCCAAACCGCAATATTGAAAGCTGCGAGAAGGTGCGGAAACTCGCGCCGCGGAAAACTCGTCCATCAACTGAGAAGGAACAGTGGCTCGCTCACGAGCGCAAGGAACGCATCGGTGGATCACAGCCTTAACGAGGGACCGCGCATGCAGAATCCAATAATCACGTTGCAACGTGCTCAGGGTCAATTATAATGCCGCATGCATATGAATGCGCAAATGAATATGTTCAATAATAAGATTCGCGATCGGATGAGCCGCGAGCAAGATAAGATGTTGCGACGCGAAAGGACTCGACGCTCAGTTAAGCCGCCCGCCAACGCACAACAAACTGTCTCGGTCAATAAAAGGTCTGAGTGCCATGATCGGATGCCTTGAAGGTAGGGCGTGCCGACGCGTGAGCTTCTTCAAATCCGCTGGAAAAAGCGCAGCCTGAACTTGCTTGATCCAGAACCTTTTAGCGACTTCACAGTCGTGAGCGGAAAGCGCCAAACACCGCGCCTCCGCCGCCCGATAGTCTGACCGCCTGCCGCGACACAAGGAGATTAATCTTAATATGTATACCGTGACACGAATGAGTTTGGGCCACGACGAATAGCGCGTCGCGAGCTCCTAGCGATTACGCTCGTGAAAAGCGTGCAGCGTACTCTTCCAAAAGAACAGTCTAGGAAAGACGAGGCACAATGTTCGGCCAGTGGTCGTGAGAAAGATGCAACCAAAGAGGACCGCGCCACCAGAGAGAGTGTGTTTGAAATTCACCACCGATTAATCCGCGGGACGTGCAATCCGCCGGGTTGTCCTCAGTCGCGACATGTCGCCACTCGACGTCAGGCAATCGACCCCAGACGTCGGCAACACAATTTGCGACAAATGTTTTCCATCGAGACGGGTGCTAATAGAGCCATGCAAGCACCACGGTGGAGTCCGTCCAACAAAAACAAGCGGACGAGCGAATCTTCAACGTTTTGCAGACGAATTCGACAAGCCGCGCGAGAAACACCGCGCTTAATAATTCTAAACGCGGAGTGGTTATGGGTTTATAGGAGCGACCCTCGATTTTCCCATTAACAATGTGACAGTTGCGTGGCTCGACTCATCGACGACCCTCAAATAAACGGCGGCAGAATACGTGGCGTTCGACGCATCCGCGAAGCCGTGAAGCTCGATTTGAGCGTCAAAAACGAAACCCGATCACCGAGGAACGTTTCACCCGTTCAATCTCGAAAAACCGGCATAAATCCTCTCCCAGGAAGTGAGAATAGTCTCCGGAGCAAATTCGTCCCAAGTGGTTCCCGCTCTCCACAGTTGCTGCATAATAATTTTAGCGGAAATCGTGACCAGCGTGACCCAACGAGCGGATCATACAGTCGCGCAATCGCGGATAGAATAGTGCGTTTATTGCGAGAAACATCTTGACTTATCCCTGAGTGGAATCCATCCCAAGCCCAAGATGTTAAGTCGTTCGGCGGTTGACAAGCTTTTACTGCAGGCGACGCCGTGATCGGCAGCGTTGATATCCGATAAGAGTGCGGAAGAGTTGCTAGTCCATTTTCGCAGTTCATAACCTCCGCGACGAAGAAGAGCGACAACTTGATCTCGAATTTCGCGCAGAATGTCAGGGTCATCGTGACCGAATAGAACGTCGTCAACGTACGTATGATCCTTCACAACTGGCACAGCGAGAGGGAATCGCGAGCCCTCATCATCCGTCAACTGACGGAGTACGCGCAAGGTCAAGAATGGCGCACACGCCATACCGCACGTCACCGTGAGCAATTGATAGTCTTTTGCGGACTCACTCAACGACTCCTTCCAGAAGATGCGTTGGTAATAGATGTCACAAGAGTCAACGAGAATTTGCCGGTACATTTTCGCGATGTCGGCGGCATAGACGAATCGAAATTGACGCCAATGCAGAATGACCGCGGGTAGCTCCGTTTGAAGTTTCGGTCCGATCACCAAGTGATTGTTGATATTTGAGCCGTTTGATGTAACACTCGACGCATTGAAGACCACGCACAAATGCGTTGTGATACTCGTGTCGCAAAAATGGGATGATGAGGCAAATAAACGCATTGCGAACTCGTTCCCGACGACGGAGCAACCTCGCACATGTGCACGAGCTGTTGATACTCGCGAAGGAAATCGTGGTATTCGGTGAAGTGTTTAGGATGCGCGTGCAATCGACGGACCATCGTGTTAAGCTGCTTTTCCGTGCGATTTCACGTGTCCCCGATGTCCATCGGAGGACCTTGCTTGAAGGGAAGGCGGACAATATAACGCCCAGATGGGGAACAAGAGTGAATTTCGCGAAAGTGAGTCTCGCATTTGTCTTCGGGTGACGAAAGAGCATGATGCGGAGGCTCCTCCACCTCCCAAAACCGTCGCATTTCGTCCTCTAATGAGGAAGAAGAGATACTGAAGCAATGATGCGCGAATACCTGAGCTGAACCCGAACTATCAACCTGATCGTGAAGCAACTAAGAAGAGCTGGGAGTCGAGTCATTGGCAGGTCCCGAAATGATCCACCCGAATATTGAATTCTGCGCGATAGGTTGCCCGAATTCGCCCTTACGAATGCTCTTAATAATAATATCACTGTAGAGATCGGGGCCGATAATTACGTGAATCGGATCCGAACTTGTCGAGTCCGGATCGGCCCATGATAAATTTGCTAAATGTGACCACGACGCGACACTCGAAACACGCTTCGGTGCGTATGACGTCAGCGCTTTTAAAATCAACGCAGAAGTTGACAAGATCGGAGAACGCGAATCTCGCGACGAGATCGAAACGCGAGCGGCGCAACGGACCGTGCCGGCATGCGATATCGCTTCACTCGCAAGGCCTGCGCTAGATTCTCAGAAAGTCATTTCAGAGCCTTGATCAAGCAAGGTTCGAACTTCGATCGAGCATCCGTCAGCGCCGACAACTTTGATCAACGCGGTAACGAGTAGGACTTGAGAACATCTTTTTACTTGAGAAGTTAATAACAATTGAATTTCAGATTTGACTTCGCGAGAAGTTGATGGGCTGTCCAACGGTTGCCAAAGCCTCACCGGGCGCCGAGCCTGCGTGCAACATAGTGTAATGTCGCATGTGACAGATACGACAAGAGTATTTACTCTTATAGTCATGCACCGAATGACTTTGACTGAGACAATTAAAGCATCGACCATATTTTTTCACAAGCTCGCGGCACTGGCTTGGTGTCCCTCGCACGAATGATGGATACAGACTAAAGTAATGACGCAATTTGCATATCGGGCAAAGTGACGACGCAACTGCAACGCTAATCTTTGGAAGATTGACAGCTTGTTTGTTGTCCACTGTGAACAATCGCGGTACCCATCGGGCCGACAGTTTTCACATTCTTGACTTAGCATGTAAAATATTGATTGCCGTTCCGTATGACACGCCTACGGCCTTTGCTATTTCGCGTACTGTCATTCGGCAATCAGCGAGAATCATGTCGTGGGCCTTTTCAACGATTTCCTCAGTAACCGCGTCTGCCGGGCGGCCTGGGCGCTCCTCATCAAAAACAGATGTACGACCACGTTTGAATTCATTGAACCAATATCTCACAGTTATCATAAATAGTGAAAGGTTCCCATAGACAGCATCCAACTTCGCTTTTATTTCTTCACATGTTTTTCCATCCCAAAATAAAAAGCGAATTACGAATCCATATTGCTCTTTTTCCATTTGATCGAAAAACACCAAACACGTTTAATACAAATGGCTGTCAAATCAAAACTAACCTGTGAATCAGTCTGAAATTTTGTATGGTGTCGTTTGAAAGATGGTAATGCCAACTTCCCTCAACAACGCCACCTGTCTTCAAACACGGGTACTAATTGATCCACTCTCATATATTTTATATATATATATATATATATATATATACAGGGTGAGTCATCTGAATCTATCACCTCCAATAACTCGTTTGTGTGGCCAGGAATCGAAAAAAGTTTCATATGAAAGTTGTAGGGTTTCGAGGGGGAACCAAAATGGCGTACCTTTCAACTTTTGATTTTGACCGAAAGTGGGTTACTTCAACCGGAAGTGGTTTTTTTAAAATGGAAACCCCCCTTTTTGACACCGGAAAATGAAAAAGCGGAAAATTTTACGTTCAGATATAACTTTGGCTGTTTTAAAATTTTCA